AAAAAAATTGTTGGGATAGGAAATGTGTGAATTGTGCAGGAACACACCAACAATACATTAATTTCTAATACCTGTCATCATCTTTCATCTTATCCACTTTACAAGTCTTTATCTTTTTTTTGACAGGTGATTCCAGTTGACATCTGGAAAAATTTTTGTTTACTTAGTATTATTGATATTATTATAATAAATTATACATTACATATAATTGTATAATTATCATAATTGTAGTTTACACGTGCATTTCAACCAATGAGACAATTCTATTTGAAAAGTGTCAATCAAGAAGACCATATGGTCTGGAGAGTTGGCAACACTTATAGCCATTACACATTAACAGATCTACAAATTGTATTGCTTATTGTTTTTGTAGTATTTATTTCAGTGTCTTATTTCAGTATTTCAATCTAGCACTGTMCTTTGTCTCCTTTATAATGTTACGTTTTATATTTAGTAAGCTTTTTTGTTTAAGTGACCTTGGGGTCATTGTGCCTATTAGCTTAACATGTAACTCATTAGTAAAGGGGTGTTACTAAAGACCAGATACCAGTACATAATATAATATAAAAATAATATAATATAAAATAAAATAAATAAATAATAAAATGTCAAAAAGCTTAAAGCACTCAAAAACACTTACAGTTGTGAGCTCAAATTTTCAATTTCAGAGTCGGAGTCCATGCAAAGATCAATGACTTCTGGCACAGCATGCTTGACTCTTTGCTTAACTCTAGTAAAAGAGAAATAAGGATCATTAAGAACACAATTGAATATTGAAAAATGTTTTAGTTTGGTATATAAAACATTTATGTTACCTAGCAAAACATTTACCTTGGTATAAAGACATCAGAAGAATCACTAACATCACCATCACGAGTACCAGTAATGGGTTCTTTCTTGGTATAACAATCCCCAATTTTCCTAGATGTATTTTACTAATACTAATTGACTCAAATCACACATTTGAACTATAATACCAGGGCTTAAGTCCTAGCAACAGGGCTCCTGATACGTCATATTGATCCCTTAATTAGGACACTAGGACAGTAGGACAGTTAGGACACTTTCAAATACAACAGGAATCCTGATACACATATTGATACCTTAATTAGGACACTAGGACACTAGGACACTAGGACAGTAGGACAGTTAGGACACTTTCAAAATACAACGGGAATCCTGATACACATATTGATCACTTAGGACACTAGGACACTAGGACACTAGGACAGTTAGGACACTCTCAAAATACAACAGGAATCCTGTTGTATTTTGAAAGTGTCCTAACTGTCCTAGTGTCCTAGTGTCCTAGTGTCCTAATTAAGGTATCAATATGTGTATCAGGATTCCTGTTGTATTTGAAAGTGTCCTAGTGTCCTAGTGTCCTAATTAAGGTATCAATATGTGTATC